TCCAACCCGTAACAGGCTGCAGATTTCTGAAGGAGTGGACTAGTTTCTCCACCTTCCCCCCACCCCAAAAGCCTGCTGAAATTCTCGGCCTGCTGGACCGCAGAAGGAAATCAATGTCGCATTGCCTCTTCTGAGTCCATCCCACAGAATCGCGAGTTTTGTCATCGGGGTACACGCTGTGTACGTTCTCCAGCCGAGCATTGTGCCCTCAGGCCCGTCTGCTTCGACCATAAAAAGGCTCTGTTACCTCTGGTCAAAGGTTCCGGGCTGAATGTCCTGTAGCATGATCTGTCAATATCAGAAGAGATCAGGTAGCCCTGGTCAGTGGCCTATGAAGAGATTTCCTTTACAAGCAAGGAGAACTAATAAACCATTGTGGGCGGCGTGGATGTTTGGGGCACTCAAATTCCGCCGCTCCGTCTTCAATGGGCTTCAAAGCACACATTCATTTGTTTCCAAGGAACTCGTCTTCAGGTTTTGCATGGCCCCTCGGAGGGACAAAAGTCCACAGCGTTTTTGCTGAGCTCAGGCTGTGGATTTGTTTTACCAGGAAATGTTTTCTTGAATATTCTTTGCTCTTAGTGACGTAGGGAAAAAAGAGAGAGGAAGGATCGTGTCAATGAGGAACCAAGTTTTATTATTATTTTTTAAAATATATTTTATTGGTTTTTTACAGAGAGGAAGGGAGAGGGATAGAGAGTTAGAAACGTTGATGAGAGAGAAACATCGATCAGCTGCCTTTTGCACACCCCTAACTGGGGATGTGCCCGCAACCAAGGTACATGCCCTTGGCCGGGATTGAACCTGAGACCTTTCAGTCTGCAGGCCGACGCTCTATCCACTGAGCCAAACCAGTTTCGGCGAAACTAGGTTATTTTAATAGATTCAATTGCACCCAGGTTCAAGGCGCTTTCCCATGTGCCACATATAAGTTAGCTTCCGTCACCCCTTAGCCCCGGGACATGGGTGGTGCCATTGCTGGGCCAATGGGGAAGCGGCACAGCCCAGAGTGTGTGGGTGTGGGAGGCAGAGTCAGACCAGGGCCTCTCCATTCAGATCCCACTCTTCACTGCTACTCCGGCGCTTCCCCTTGAAAGAGAGAAAGAAGTTGGGGAGCCTTTGTCAGTGACAAAGGAAGGTGGAAGAGGCAGAACCCCCACTAGGGAAGCCAGAGGCCTGGTTCCAGGGGGGGGCGGGTGCTCTCCCTGCCAGCCCCACAGCTCCCTGTCTCACTGCATCTTCCTGACCATCTCACCCCAAACTGCACCCATTTCCCTCCGCTGTGGCTGCCAGAATCCCTCCCTCCTGTTCTACTCACTCTCACCACCTTGCTGAATGCTCTTTGAGTCCTTCACGCACTGTGTTTATTTTCTTGTTGTCTCTCTCTCCTAGACTAGAAAGCCCATGAAAGCTGGGGCTTGGGGGAGTTTGGTCTCTTGTTCACTGATGTCTCCTGTGTCCGGAACCGTGGCTGACACACGGTAAGTGCTAAATAAATGTGCCCTGTGAGAAGGAGGGAGGGACGGAGGGGAAGGGAGTGGGGAGGAAGAGGAAGAGGAAGAAAAGAATCCTGATGGACCCTGCCTGGGTCCCACCTCTGAAATGGAAGGTTGAGCTGGTGGCTTCCAAGCTGCTCCCAAATCTACTCATGGCAGATTCTAAAGAAAACCCAGATTAAGATTTTTTTCAAAGGATAACCACCACAGAGATTAATGAAAGTCAAAACCAAAAGACCCAACTCCCCAAATGAAATATGACGAACTAGTCAACACTCCTGAGAGACTGTTATAAAGGTTATAAAGATCGTCTGAATAAAGGTCAGACTCAAGTGTGAAGGAACTGAGTGGTCTCTACACGGCTTCACAGAAGTGGGAGGCATTGTAACCACTGTCACCATAGGATAGGTCAGTGGTCGGCAAATTCATTAGTCAACAGAGCCAAATATCAACAGGACAATGATTGAAATTTCTTTGGAGAGCCACATTTTTTAAACTTAAACTTCTTCCAGCGCCACTTCTTCAAAATAGACTCGCCCAAACCGTGGTATTTTGTGGAAGAGCCACACTCAAGGGGCCAAAGAGCCACATGTGGCTTGCGAGCCGCAGTTTGCCGACCCCTGGGATAGGTGATCTGTGCTTCTCTGGTAGCCCAGCAAACCGGCTTCCTCCAACAGAGTACCAAACTGGGAGTCTGAAGGCACAGAGCCTAGCACAGTCCCCCACCCGCACCAGTCCCTCCCATCTCCCCTCCTGTCCAGACTGTGGGCTTCCTGAAGATAGCCCCCCTCCCTCGCCCCCCTTCTGCGTTTTCCCTTCACTCCCAGCAGTCAGGACTGCTGGGTCACTGGCGGCTAAGGGAAGGGGGGTGGCAGGAGACGCACCTGTCATGGAAATCAGCCCCACCTGCTCCTCTCCTGGCTCCTCCCTCCGCTGCTGCTCAGCCACCAGCCATTCTGCTGGCATCTGCCAAGGCCCTGCCATCATCGGGTCAGTCACCCGGCGGGGACTGAATGAAGGTCAGAGGCGAATGAGCCACTGTGCCTGCCTTAGGGGAGCCCATGGTCAAGACAGTGCTCAGACCACTTCTTCTCTCTTCAGAGGTGATGCAACGTCACCAGTTAAGGGCCCACCTGGGGGTGCAAGGCAGATCTCCTGGCTGAGGCTGCATGGGGTTTGCCACTCAAGGTTGGAAAGGATTTCAATAACCAGAAGCTGGGTGACTCGGGTGGTGAAACAAGCCCCAGGTGAGAAAGGTCCAGGGTGTCTGGTGTGGCTGGAATGAGGGGCACCTGTGCATGTAGGGGAAGCGGGGGAGTAGGTGATGGAGCTGATGAGCCAGGATGGGGACAGCCTGAGTCAGGCTGCGGGGTTTGGGCTTTCTCCCCTAAGTGAGGGGAACTACTGGAGTGAAATGAAGTCATTCAGGGAGATGCCCTCTGGGCTCTACCTAAGTCCTGGGATTCATTGATTTCCCTGTTGTGGAGCCATTTCAAAACTGCTCTTGGAATGCAAACATGGTTTCTCTCATGATTGAAACGAGGGGTTCAACTCTGTGACTGCAGCAATTACTTCATCGATAACTGAGAGCTCACCTTCCCTCAGCTGGGCCAATAAAGGCAAGTGGTATTTAGTTTTACACTTAAATACAATTCATGATCCACCTAGTGCGAAAAAAACTTCTCAGTAAAGTGTAATAAAGAACATTTTTAAAGGTTGTTAAACTGAAAATCAAAAACAAGAGATCGAGAAGGCTTCCAGATGCTGGCCAACCCCGGCGCCTAAAAAACAAACAAACAAAGAGGTCACAAACACTTAGATAGAATGGGAGCCAGATGTGTACACGAGATATGGAATTTGGCTCTGAGCTTCCCAGTGGCCAGAGCAAAAATGGAGCATGCAAGGAATCAGTTTAGGGCCTCGTTATTTCCTTCCTTCACGGCTAGACTCCCAGGTAGGCCCAATGGGCACCACAGAGAGAAGCTGGGCTCCCATAATCCCAGGTGCTGGGTTACTTTGAGGTCACACTGCTCTTTGGTTTGGTTCAGGATTACACAAGCAAGGCGATTTGGGTCTCGTAAAATGCAAATGATCAGGAAGCCTTTTGAATGACAATTTAAAAAGGACTTTCAAAGCCGGTTCCTTATTTTTCTAGTGGGGGATGGCCTGGCCCTCAGCAATGCGGCAGCACCAACCTCAGAGCTGAGACCTGTGGCTGTGAACGGAGTAGGGATTCTAACCTCCCACTGGCCTCTGTCAAATGGCCAAAGCAGACAGGCTCAGGTTGTCCCATCTCTGCCCCCCGCCCGCCCCTCTACCCCTACCCAAGCTGTGACCAGACAAAGCACATTATCATCCCTGGCCCTGTTTTCTTCTCGGTAACGCTAAAGGCCCTTTTCAATGCACAGCTAAAAATCTGGAAGAAATCTTAGAAAAATAACTGGGTACCTTCCACCTGAGGAGAAATAGGTTTGTACAGGCTTTCAGGTCTCAGTAGACTACCTCCCAAGCGGCCCCAGAGTGGTGTCACCTCCCATCAGGGAAAATGAAACCCCTCCCTCTCCCGGGTGCCTGCCCCCCACCCTTTGGCCCTGGGCTGTCCCCCAGAGCCTGCAGAGGTGGGTCCTGCTTCCAGGGGCAGCCCCAATGCCAGCCTGTGTGACAGGAGCTGCCAATGGACAGAGCACACTACACCTGCTGAGTCTCCGGAAGGGACAGGTCACTGGATCTGGGCCACACGCCTGTCACTTCTAGTTACTTCTGAGTCGGATTGAGAGCTCCTTGAGGAGAGAACAATGGCTTGCATATTCTGCTACAGTGCCTGGCCAGCCTAGAACCTTTCAAGGAAGTTCTACTGAAGCTCAGTAGAACTTTGGAAGGATGCTTTCTTGAAGACAAACTACACTTGACACCAAAATGTAAAGCCACCTGCCACCAAAACCGGTTTGGCTCAGTGGTAGAGCGTCAGTCTGTGGACTGAAGGGTCCCGGGTTCGATTCCGGTCAAGGGCATGTACCTTGGTTGCGGGCACATCCCCGGTAGGGGGTGTGCAAGAGGCAGCTGGTCGATGTTACTCTCTCATTGACCTTTCTAGCTCTCTATCCCTCTCCCTTCCTCTCTGTAAAAAATCAATAAAATATATTAAAAAAGAAAAATGTGAAGCCACCTGCCAATGGGACAACTATGACCAACACCAATACGTTGTCCACATCTATAAGTAGGTCAATCAGTTAATAGCCCCTAGCTGACATCCTAGTTTAATTCCACGAACTATCCAACAATGAAAATGCTTTTTTAAGAGTGCCATTGCTACAAGGCAGTCACTAATAGTATCCCTCTTCTGTGGAACCTGGAAGAGAGGTCTTAAAACCTTTCTAAGCACAGTTCCCTCCCCACCACCCCCAACCAGGATTCCCTCAGTAAATTATGTGCTATGAAGGTCACTGCTTAAGGAATAGTCTAACTAGCGTGCCATCAAGGGGGGAGGGGAAAAAAAAAGCTGCATCATTTAATTGCTATTTATTTTCATAAACATGAGGTATTTCAAAGTGCTATAAGATGCAGCACTAAATATATACATTTTGAAAAGAAATTATAAACACAGAACTTTGTATTTACCCAGTTCTATGCACCAAACAACAAATACATTAACAGGAAGAAAAACAGGCTAGGAAAAAGGCATATATATATATAGTAAATTTCTTTACAAAAGTTTTCTTAGTTCAAAAAAGTGATAAAGTAATATCTACTCAAAACTTTCACAACTCATTTTCATACGAAAATATAAGTATCAAATTTAGTTATGTATCAGCATCATACTAAAGTATACAGGCAGTGTAAGAATTAGTACAGTACATAACAGAGATTAACAATATATTTGTATACAAAACATGCTCCTCAAACATTGAGGTATTACAGTACTTGGGTATGAAACTTCCAGTCTAATACTGGCCACGAAAGCCACCTCATTACCCGGGCGCATACAAAAGGCGGGTGTGGCAGTGGTATTTACAGAAGTGTTCTCCTGGGGAGGGGGGGGGGGGGTCTGGACTGGTAACCCCCTCCTCCCCTGGCATCTGCTGGAACATAAGCACCATTTGAAAAGGAATGACTCTCTGATGTCTGGAAACTCGGAACAAGGTGACTTCCACGGCCCCAGAGGCTCCCGACGGTCACGCCTGTCACGCCCTCCCTCAGCTGTCTTGGAAGTGACTGTCTTGGAGGTGACTCCGAGGAACCCTCATGGGCCACACAGCATCCCATCATCACCCAGGCCCTATCCCTCAGAGGTCCTGGCAGAACCAACCCCCCCGCCCCTCCCCACATGTCCTGCTCCCCACCCAGATCCAAACTCGACAGGGAGGGAGGAGACCGATTTGAAAGTAAACCAACATTCTTAATGTCAACAATGTAAAAAAAAAAACAAAAAAACGAAAAACAACAACAAAAAAAATCAAAATGTGCAAAGTGGCAGTGACTGTCCCGTTTTGGAGAAAGAACCGTTTAGCAAGTCCGCGCCAGCTCGAGCTTCTGGAGCAGCTGCTGCTGCCGGGCCTGCAGCTTCTCCTTCTCCAGCAGCAGCTGGTGCTCCTCGGCCTGCAGCGCGTGCACGAACTCGGTGGCCTTCTTCAGGATGACCACCTTGGCCGCCTTGTCGTTCCTCGCCAGCTCCGGCACGTGGTCCCTGAGCGTGAGGAAGCTGGAGCGCAGGTCGTTGCGGCGCTGGCGCTCCAGGATGTTGTGGTTGCGGCGGCGCTCGCTGTCCTCCGAGTCGGAGTTGCGGGGGCTCAGGCTCTTGGCCTTCGCGGGGAGGGCGCCGCCGCCCTTGAGGGGCCGCGGGGACGCCTCGCTGCTGCTCCTGATCTTCTTCTGGGGCGGCGCCTCCTCGGGCTCCACGTAGGGCGAGGGCGCGGCGTAGTTGTGCTGCTGGTGGATGGGGACGCAGCGCTTGAGGATCAGGTCCCCCGCGAGGTGGGGGGGGGCCCTGCCCGGGCCCAGGGCCGCGCTCTTGGGGCGCACGGTGATGGTGAAGGTGGTGACGGCCTTGCTGTTGTGGGCGGAGGACCGCCGCTTCTCCACCGTCACCACGTCGATCTCCTCCTCTTCCTCGTCTTCTTCGTCATCGTCGTCATCTTCGAGAACAAGAGGGGAGGGGGTTACTCTCAGAGGGAGACACAGGCACCCGACCGTTTCCCTCCCTCTGGACCGCCTCTCCCAGGCCCGGGCGCGTCTGGCTCTTACTCAGGGCCCCATCAGCATAGATGGGAAGAGGAATGCACTTTAGATCTTTTCAATGAAACATATTTGTAAATACTTTTCCCTTCCCCCCATATTCCTAGCGGTTTCAGCTTCCAGACCGACTGGAGCAGGTGGGAGATACAGAAAGAACCTGGGATGTGGGGGCGGGACAGAATCCTGGCTCCATCCCACAACACTGGGGGTGTGATTCTGGGCGAGTCTCTAGAGTCTACCTTTGGAAGCATTAGTTTCCATTTAAATGGGACCCATACCGCAAAGGTTCTCGGGATGGACCTGGGATATGCAGAGAGCTGGCCTGGTAAACAGATGCTCAGTCGATGGTAGCTTTTAACACCATCGCCGGGCTACCCTAGCCCCCAAACTTATTTATATTTCCATCTCCGCGCTCAAGAATGGAGACTCCCCATTTAGCAATTCCACACTCGGTTGCATCTAACGTTAGGCCCTTAAGCAAACGTACAGAACAATCCAATGAAGCCCTTTTTTTCACCTAGCACACATCCCCCATCTCCCCTAGCGAGTCCTACCCCACAGGCGCTCGAACCCCAAACCCGGGAGCCAGTCAGTCATAACCGCAGCAACAACAAAAGCGTGTAGCATCATGCCCCCCCACCCCCTCCTCCTCCTCATTTACTCCGTGCCCAGATAGAAAATTATTGTTTAAAAAAATGCAAGCATGGAAAATCAAAACACTTCTTCTCCTGCTTGATCTGGAAAGGGGACCGGAAAGCTGAACAATTGTAGGATTTGTTCTAAAGCCGAAATGCGAGGCTGCTGCAGCCTGTGGGTCCCTTTAAGCCCGTGTTTTGGTTTTCTGCCAAGAAGACAGCTGTTGGAAGGAAGTGCTTCCTCACCGCGAGCTGTCAAGGCACAGACATTAAAGGGACAGGACCCGCTTCAAGCCGGAGGCTTATCACCAAGTTTCCTTCCAGGAGCCTCGGCGGAATCCACTCTCCGGCCCAGAAGGAAATTTTAGGCCTTTAATCCGCCTGCATTCTGAAAACACTGGGCTGCGAGGAGATTCCAGGGACGAGGGCCTCCCAGCCCCCAAACAAGGGCTGTTTTGAGTCTTTGGGGAGGAGAGTTCTTTCTCTACCTCCGAGGCCCCAGGCAGTCTTCCTCTCAGCCCTGCCCTCCGCGCCGCCCAGCACACAATGCATGCGACTCATCAACGAGTGCTCCTGGGCGTGTGCATTCCCGGAGGGCCAGCCCACACCTGGAAGGGCACCGGGTTAGCCCAACTCCGGATCAGAAATGAGTCCTGGGAATTCTGGCTAGAACGCAGCCCTGCACCCCGAGTCCCTGCACAGGGAGAGAGGCGGCCCCCTGGGAACGTACACAACCTCGGCGGTACTAGCTGCCAGCTGCTGGATGGAGGCAGGGTGGCCCCTTCCCCTCTATCCCCCCACCCAGCCATGCCGAGCCTCTGCCCGCCCGGAATATCGCCGCCTGCCGGCCACCTACCAGGAGCAAGCAGCCCACCAGCCACAAAGGGAGGGGGAAGAGATAGCACCCAGGTTTGAAAAATAAAATTTGCTGCAAGTCCTCTGTGCAATCCCCCTAACTTTCTGTGCCCGAGCAGGGTTTTGCACAATGCCTGTGTCTTCTCGGGGTCTCCCCCCAACCCCCAAACCCTGACCTGGGTCAAGTCCCTCTCCCCTAGAGGGCTAACAGGTTTCTGTCCGAGTCATGCAGCCAGCGGCCCCCTTGCTTCCTACCCACTTTTTAGTAGTTTTATGTGGCAAAGAGGTGGGCAACCAGACCGGATGAGGCCCAGGGATGGAGTTGGGGCCCCCCAGAGGGTAGAAGGAGCTTCCAGTGCAGGTGACACTTTGGGTAACACCCTCTTAGCAACTCTCACTCAACCGTTCTCTCCTGATCTTGGGGGTCAGTTTGCCCAGAAAGTAAAATAAAATAAAATAACAAAAAGCAGTCAGCCATCATCACAACTTCCAAAACGCTCCCCCCATCCGAGCCTAACCCCAGCCGCAGTGACAAAGGGCGCGCACCCCCGCGCCAGCACCCCGGGGCGGTCCTTACCGGAGTCGCTCAGGGTGTCCTCTCCGGAGGTGCTGAGCGCCTTGGGGTCCCCGCCCCCGGCCGGCCGGGCTCCGGGGCGCGACAGGGAGGCCATCGGGGCGCCGGCCGGGGCCGCGCCCCCCGCCCCCGGAGCGGCCCCGGCCTGGGAGGCGGGCGCGGGCTTGGTCACCGGGAACGGGAACACCACGGCGGGGTCCACGCACTCGGCGGCCGGGTGGGCGAGCTCGGGGGGTAGCGCGGCCCCGGCGCGGCCGGCCCCCGCGCTGTGCCCGCGGCCGGCGCTGGGGGCGGCGGGGGTTGCCCCCGGGCCCGGGGCGGCGGGGCCGGGCGGGCGGCCGTGCTGCAGCTTCTCGCTCACGGCGCGCTCCAGCTTCTCCCGCGCCGAGAAGCCGCTCCACATGCAGTCCTGCAGGATGACCGCGTGCGGGGCCAGGCCGCCCGGGCCGCCCAGGCCGAACGCGTCCTCCTCCTCGGCCGGGGCGCCCCACAGGTCGGCCTCGGGCAGCAGCATCTCGGTGGCCCAGTCCGGGGGCTCGGGGCTGGGCTCCCCCGGGAAGGCGCGGCTGGGCGACAGCGGGGGCGTGGGCAGCAGCTCGAACTTCTTCCAGATGTCCTCGCCCGGCGGGCTGCAGTCCGGGCCGCCGAAGTAGAAGTCATCCTCGTCCGGGTAGAAGCAGGGCTGCAGCGAGTCGAACTCGAGGTCCGGGTTCTTGCAGAGCATGCCCGGCATGGTGGACGCGGCGGTGCAGCTGGGCATCGGCTCGCCTCGCTCCCGGCCGCCGCAGAGGCGCTGCTTCTCGCCTCTCCTCCTCCCTGCGCCGTTCGGGGGGCGCTTCTTCCTTCCCGGGGGGCGCGCGGGGGGCCGCACCGGCCTCCGACGCTGCAACCGACAGACACAAGCACGGGAGGTTGGCTAGCGGAGCCGGAGGGAGGGAGAGAGGGAGGGAGGGGGTCCCTCCGTCTCCCCTGCAAGCCCCCCACTGCGCCCCGCGCCCCCGAAGGTGGAGGAAGTCCTGCCCGGCTCGCTCCCTCCCTCCCTCCTTTTGTGCACACGCCGTCCGCGCGGGGTGGGCGGGGGCGTGCAGATGCGGGGGGTCGGGGTTGGGGGGTGGGGTGCAATGGCTCTGCAACTTTGCAAACTGCCATTTCATTCACACCAGGCTCTGCGGGGGTTTCGGGGGGCGCTGCTCCGGCTGCAGGATCCCAGCTCCCCGGCTCCGCCCGCCCGCCCGCCCGCAGGCCCGGTGGCACCGTGCGGGGCCAGCTGCGCCCAGGCAAGCCCGCGCGGCGCCCCAGCCAGGCACGGGGTCTGGAGTCTCCCAATCCCCCTCTCTTCCCCCTTCCCTGGGAAACGGCAACCTTGGGGCGTGTGAGCGAGAGAAGGGGGGTTTTCGAAACTTTGCAAATGGAAAAAAAACCCTTTTTCTCTGCAGACAGCAGCAGAACGCACCCACCCCCTCCCCGGCCCGAGCAGAGGCCCCACAACATCCACCCGCGGGAGGGAGAGCCCCACCCCCGGCCTTCCTGATCCCGCAACGAGGGCGAGGGAGCAGCCCGAACCCCAGTCCCCGGGGAGGGCGGAGGGGCCGGGGAGCAGCGGGGAGGAGGGTCGCCGCCGGGGAGCAGCGTCTCCTCGGAGCCCGAGCCGCCCGGACCCGGAGGACGAGCGGCGGCGGCCTCGCCCATCGCCTCACCCCCTCCTTCCTTCCTTCCTCCGGGGCACCCTCTGGGGGGAGCCCAGCTCCGGGGTGGGCGCCGGCCGGCCCCCGCAGGCAGCGCGGACGCAGACAAACGCGCTTCCCCGGGAGGGTGCCTGTCTGGCGGTGGAGCCGTGCAGGCGAGAGAACCACAGGGATTAGGGCGGGTCTCTCCGAGCTGGGGGTGCCTTTGGGGGGGCAGGACTGCATTTTCCGGAGGAAAAAGAAAAAGCCCGAGGAGGTTTTGTCTCGGAAGCAGCAGCTCCCGGTCCCCAGGGGATCGCGGGGCGCCCCGAGCGCGAGGAGCGAGGCGGTGGGTCCCCGGCTCCCTCCCTCCCCGCCGCTCCCGGGGCGCCGGGCGGCGTGCACCCCCGCTCCGCTCTTACCTCCGCGGGCGCGGGGATCCGGGGGAGAGGAGGCTGTGCGCGGGGTCCCCGGGCGCCGGGCCGGGGGGCTGGAGGGGGGTCCTCGGTGGCCGCAGTCGGTACGCGCCCGGCCGGCTGGCTCAGCGCGGAGCTCGGCGGAGCGCGGCTCCCGTGCCCCCCGCACGCAGGCACCGGCGGGCCAGACAGATGACTGTCACTGGCTGGGCTTTGAAGCTCGGGGGATATTATTAACCGAAAACCTGACACACCCGGAGGGCGGGGAGAGCGGGGGGCTGCGGCGCGGGCGGGGGAGGGCGGGGGCCGGGCCCGGAGAGGGGCTGCACCCCGCCCCCCTGATTTCCATAAAAATCAGGGGAGGCGCCAAGCCTTTCGCGCCAAAAGCCACTTGCTTTTCTTCTGCGCGGAGGGGAGGGGGGCTGCAGCGCCGGGGAAGCCGGGGTGAGGCCCCCCCAAACCCACCCCGCCGCCCGCCCAGGCCGCCGCGCCTGCACCCGCTGCCCGCTGCCCGCCAGCGGCGCGCCCAGCCGTGCCCTGCAGCGCCCGCTCGGCCCGCGATCGCCTGGCATTGAGAAAAGAGAAAAAATAAATGCCCAGACGGCTCCCGGGAGCCGCCCCCGCCCCTGCCCGCGCCGCTGTGCGGTCTGCGGCCCCGCGGATCCGTGCCCCTTGGTGATCTCCGGGGGTGGGGCTGCCCCGGGTGTAAGACGGTCACCGTGTGGGGGAGACGGGGCCGCTGGAGGGTCCCGGTTGAGCACGGGCAGGCGTGGGGCGCCCCCCTGGTTCGGAGATAAATAAATAACCGCGGGCGTGGAGGGTGGCGCCGCGGCGGGTTCCCCGGCCGAAGGCGACACCTCGCGGAGGCCGTGCGTTAGAGCGGGGCTGCCGGCCGGGCCCGGGGGCTGTAAGGGCGCCGCCCGCAGCGCAGGGAACAGGGGCCCCACGCATCAGGGTCGGATCGAAACTCTGGTCTCCGAATTGTCCGCGGCGAAAAGAAAGAAAAGCTGCTGTCCCTGCTCAGCCCCACCCCCGTGCCTCGGTTTCCTCCGCTGCGAAATGGTCTTGGTAGCCTGTGCTCACCCATGGGGCTGCTTTGAGACGTGAGAGTCAGGAAAAGGGCTTAGAACAGTGCCCAGCGCACAAGTGTGAGTGTCCGCTATTATTTTTTTTTAATATACTTTATTGATTTTCTTACAGAGAGGGATAGAGAGCTAGAAACATCGATGAGAGGGATAGAGAGCTAGAAACATCCATGAGAGAGAATCATCGATCAGCTGCCTCTTGCATACTCCCTACTGGGGATGTGCCCGCAACCAAGGTGCATGCCCTTGACCGGAATCGAACCTGGGACCCTTCGGTCCGCAGGCCGAAGCTCTATCCACTGGGCCAAACTGGTTTTGGCGAGCGTCCGCTATTCTTGTTGTGATCGGATCAGCCAAGAATCTTCCGGGGACATTAGCACCTCCATCCGGCAGCCATCGCCTCACCCCCCTCCAGTTGGGGGTGGGGAGGAAGGAGGGCTCAGATATGATCGCCTCTGCCCCCCAGCTCCCCAGGAGCAGCTCAGGTCTCCCGCACAGCCCCCCTCGCAGCCAGGCACACAGGGAGGTGGGGTTCTGCTTTGAAAAACAATCCTCAGACAGTGTGGGGTGGGGAGCCTGGCCCCCGGGTCGGGCTGGGAAAGTTCCTTTATAGTTTATAGCTCCTTTTCCAACCTGGAAACTCTCGCACCCCGGTCTTCAGCTCAGGATTGGGGACCAGATGCAGAGGGGGGTGCAGAGGCCCGGCCCGGGAGCAGCTCCGGCATTAGCATCTGTGAGGGCCGCCCTGAGGCCTCCCTCGCTCCGGGCCGGAGGGAGCTGGCTCAGCGCTAGGAAGTGGCCCATGAATGAGGATGCGCTGCCCTTCCGCGCACCTTTCTTATTGTTATGACTTCCCTCACATATGCAAAGCGTTTCGCTTTGGCCAAAGCCCTTCACACCCCACTTGGGCTTCCCCCCGCCCCCAACCCCCTCATCTAAACCGAGCCTTCCTGCTGTATTCTCTCCAAACATCCTTTGCCCCATCGGTAATGATATATTCCTGGCAGTGTTTGTTTAATGCCGCTTCCCACCCCGTCCCCGGGGAAATGGGCTGCCTCCCTCGCTGGACTGACTGGTGAGCCCCTCGGTGGAGGGCCTGCTTGGGGCTGGGTGGTGTCAACAGGAGAAGCAACCTGTACAGACAAGGACTCAATCCTGTTGTTCAAGGCAGAGGTCCCTGAAGCAGTCCCTTCCAGGGCAGCCAGCTCTTCCAAGATGGTTTGTGTATTGGTTGGTGGATGGGTGATAGAGAGAAGGTGGAGACAAAGGAGCTTCGTGTTGTTCCACTTGTTTACACATGCATTGGTTGCTTCTTGTCAGTGCCCTGACCAGGGATCGAACCCTGGAACGTTGGTGTATCGGGGCGACGCTCTAACCGGCTGAGCTACTGGCCAGGGCCCACGATGGTGTCTGTTCATCGGCAAAGGAGAGATGCTTGTCATTCAGAGCCTTCTTCAGCCCTCAGCAACTGCCCAGAAAAGGCACTCAGAATTGCCTGCCTTACCTTTTTATTTATTTTTTAAATAGATTTCATTGATTTTTTTACCGAGAGGAAGAGAGAGGGATATCAATGAGAGCCTAAACCGGTGTGGCTCAGTGGATAGAGTGCCGGCCTGCGCACTGGAAGGTCCCAGGTTCGATTCCAGTCAAGCGCATGTATAATACCTTGGTTGTGGCACATCCCTGGTGATTCTCTCATTGATGTTTCTAACTCTCTATCCCTCTCTCTTCCTCTCTGTAAAAAATCAATAAAAATATGTTTTAAAAAAGAAAAGAAAAGAAACGTCAATAAGAGACAATCATAAATCAGCTGCCTCTTGCAGAACCCCCTACTGGGGATGTGCCCGCAACCAAGGTACATGCCCTTGACCGAAATCAAACCTGAGACCTTTCAGTTCGCAGACCGATGCTCTATCCACTGAGCCAAACCGGTTTCGGCTATTTTTTTATTTTTTACCAAAATGTCAGGCCTGCTAAAATAGGCACAGATGCCACCTCTACCCCCCTTGATTTGTTTAAAAGTCCCCACCTTCGCCCTGCCTGGTGTGGCTCATTTGGTTGGGCACTGTGGTTCACAGAAAGGCGGCCGGTTCAATTCTTGGTCAGGGCACCCCAAACAAAAAGCCCCGCCCTGGCCCTTTCTCACCAGCCCTGTGCCCTTCCCCACCCCACTGCCCTCTGCCAAGGGGCAAACAGGAGCAGAAAACGAAGGGAGAGGAAGACCGGAGCCCTGCTGACTCGGTATGCCTCCGAGCAAACCGTGTATCCTTCCTGGACCTCAAGCTCTAATTTCCATCTTTTAACGCCAGCCAGTAATTACTGACAAGTCTGAATTTGAAGGTTAGCAGAATGATAAAATTCAACAAGTATTTATTGGTACTTTCATTTGCAAATGGGAAGATAAAAGACTCCCGGAGAAACCCTGTCACTGCAGGTTCCAAATCAGCCTGTAGAGAAACACGCAGAGAATCTTCTTAAAAATGTTGAAACCCTCTTCAGAGGGCTGCAGAGACAGGGTTCGGTTCAGCGTGCACCAACTGTCCCGATTCAGAACGGAGATAAGACAGCCTCAAAGCGCTCATCTCGGAGGGAAGGGAACACACACCTAAGATGGACCAGCAGATAGGATACAGTTGTGAACAAAAAAAGGGGTTCTATGGAAAGTGACCTGACAGGGTGATCTGATCATAA